AGGCAATGAAGTTGTGGGTTAGTTTATCTGTTCTCAGTCTTCCCATCCTTCTAATATGCTGGTTTCAACTCTCAGAATTCTAAGCAATGATCATGCTGCCTGAGGAATCTGGAGAGTGGAAGTCACACACACCTTGCACTGGCCTCAGAATCATGAACTACACTTTTTTCCTAATGTAATACCAATACACATGCCAAAGTGGTAAGAAGGAGATTCCTTGAACAATAACCTCTGAGTGTTACAAATTTACAGGAACTATGAATGGCAGTAGAGTTCCAGAACAGCATTATCTAGTAACTTTAGCTGACGGGAAACTTTACGTCTTCCAATGAAGTATAGTCTTTTCTACCAAGAGTCTAAATTAGCCAGATTCTACAAAACCATGTTTGGATTCCAAAATGTCATCGAGAAAATTTATATTCCGTATGGCTATCTGAACAAATTAGTAGTTTGACAAAAGACATTGGTGGAGTGGGAAGGGAAAGTAGAATGCCTAAGTGCAAGGGCATCTATGTGGGTATGTGTATAGGTGTGTCAGAAAGTCAAAATTGTGGTTGCAATCAAAGCTCTACTCCTTTTTTATGTGTGTTGAACACATGGTACGTGCAAAAAAAGGAGAGGGCTTTGGTCACATGGTTATGGCTGCCATTTTGACTTTTTTTACCCTTCCCTTCCCCCACACATGTCCCTGCCTAACCACCTCTGGCAGGTATGTGGATATTTTCTTCCCCCAGCTATTTTGTTCCTAGCCAGGATAACCACTGTTTTCAAAGCATGACTGGGATGTGGAAAGTACTTCAAGAACTGAGAAAAACAATTTTGCAGAGAATATTCACAAAGGGAACAAAAAGTAACATATAGAAGCAAAGCAATTTCTGTTACCCAGCTATTCTCACCACCTCTAGATAGCCCGCATTAGGATGATGTTGGAAGCATTGGATTAGAAACTCTGGGATTTTTCCAAATATATACTTCTATCCAAAAGTAATTGTAATTAAAAGTGAAAAAACAAAGCCATCCCTGGGAAAACTTGCCTGTTGTACAAAGTAACAGGAACGTTGGCACCATTTTCTTTCAAGTCAACCTCAATTATGGATCCTTTACATTCTTCTACTATCTGCATAGTGATAAGGGTACAATTTAAAAAAAAGATCAGATAGATCATTCTGCTTGTCTTCAGAATATTGGTATTATGTGCAAATGGGTGAAATACAGAAATAAACATTTCTCCTCATATTAGTAGGCCTGGTATTACAAATCATTGTCAGACACCTCTGACTTGGAAAAGGCAGGTAATAACAAGAGAAAGGACTTCATGTTGTACTTGGATGTCAGCTCTGGAACCTCCTGGCCAAGATGGGTTCACTTGAATTATCATTCTTTAGGCAGCAAGCTAGATCTAGCCTAGCTTCTAATTGCAATGGATTACCATGGCTGTGGGTGAGGTGGTGGAAACAATGACATATGCATAATGGTATTATCATACATGGGCCATGAATTATGTACTTGCATCAGACATTTGTCACAAGTACATAACTGCAAGCGTGCTATATTTTGACATTCATGATTTATTACCGATTCTACCAGAGGCATCGGCAGGGGGTGGTCAATGATGTCAAAATGGCAAACTCTACTGGGTGACTGAACTCCATCACCACTTTATGTGTGTGATATGTGCAACTCATATTAAAAAGGGAGGGACTTTGATTGCTCTGTCACATCTGCCTCTTGATGCTGACCCCTAGTGCAGATGCGCCTGGATGCCATTGTGAATTACACTTGTAATGAATTATAGAATGTAAAGCATTATGTTGTTTCACTGCTATGATTTGTATGCCTATTGTAATGATTTAATAAAATAAAAGTGGGTGTTTCTGTGTCTATGTACATATACACAGCTGCCTGCTGATTTGTGCTTATGAAAACATAAGGTAGCAGAGATTGGGTGAACAATTATATTAAACCATGGTTTGCTTAAACACAATTGGTTGGGTTCATACAACACTTGAAGCTGAAGTCAAAGAAATTACATTATGGTGTAGCACAGCATCCCCAACCGGACATGCTCAAGATAACCTGGAACTGCAGAGCATACAGTGTTATATTATACAGTCAGCTCAGGGTATCTTTTCCTCTGAGACATCCAAGAGTGGCAGTAGAGAAAGGCTGGTCTCATGTGGTAAGTGAACCCAGTCAGGATGTCCTACCGTGAAATCCAACATCATGTTTTCAAGGATGTCATCACAGCGTTCATCCAGTATAACCTGAAGAGTGCTAAAGGAAAAAAGAACACAGTGAAACAGATCATTTTCCCAATACTAATATAATTTCCTTACTTATGATCATGTTAATTTTAATGGAAATTGATTCTTCACAAATATTCTGAACCCTCCAGCCTAGTTTTGTCCCTGTTCAGTTAAACCAAAACTGTCTGACACCCAGTTCCTAAATGGAGGAGAAAGTGAAGATTTCATGTCAAGATCAACTCCTGGGACTGCATTCCTGCAGGTTTCTTGGCAGTATTAAAGAAGTGGTTACCTATTGCCTTCTTCAAAATCTTTTTTTTTTAATGTCCCAGTCTAGCCTACACCAGTGAAGGACAGGAAGGCCTGGCGGGATATGGTTCATGGGGTCACGAAGAGTCGGACACGACTTAACGACTGAACAACAACAACTAGCCTACACCTGGGATTCTCAGATGTCTCTTATCTAAGTATGAACCAGGTCTGACCTGGTTTAGCTTCCAAGATCAGCTCATGTAGATCCAAGCAAATTTGGATCACAGAAAAAGGAACGAGTACTTTATCTACAACATTAATTATCACTATATAGTTCTGAGGAATAATTTTATGCCATACCGTCCAACTGTAGGAGAAAGTTCTTTTAAATCTTCCAGTGTTGGATCAATATTTGCCAATTTCTTGAACAACGCAAGAGGGAAAGGTAAAGCAATTATCTTCAAATTTTGGAGCGCTATTCCAAACAGATTCCCAATTAAAAAATATATGTCCTCCTGTGTTGATACCTAATTTGAAAAATCAGTATACAAGTATTGAAAAATGCACTGTAAAGGAGAGTGTCTATTTATAAAATAAATGTTGTATTTCTGAGACTTCTATACTACTTCAAACTCATTCCCCATGACTAAACGTCAGCTGTCCACATCCCCATTCTACCCTTCATCAACCACCATATCTGCTTGCCAGTTTTCTCTCTGGCTGTTCTTTGTTCTCTCCATCAATCTGGATCTTATAGGCATATTGGTTCCTCAGGATAAAAATGGGTCAGCTGAATGCATAATTCCACCTCCAGGCAAGATGAAGCTGCCTCATCATGGTTCCCTCCATCTCAGCCCTGTTAACTTTAATCAGCACCAAAGGATTGTGTCAGCCCTTTCTCCTATGATACTTCAGCAGGGAATGAACCTGAGATCTCATGTATGCTGAGCAAGTCAGCTGTCATTAACCTACAGTTCTTCCTTACCAGGAAAGAATGGGAAGCACATCACTCTTGGTCCTAAATAGTCAAAAGTGGCAATGGAAACCAACCTCTGGGTATTCTATATGCATGCCCTATTTGCTGGATTTCTACCATATTGTTGCTTCACAGCTTGTTTTAATAGGAACATCTGTCTCTTTTCAGACCAGAATAAGGGGAAAGCTTGATACAATATCCGTATTACAAGCGGAAACTGTTAAGTTCCATCGGATGGTGATCAAATGTAGCCTTTATTAATTTTAAGCATTTCACCATTAATAGAAGAGAAACATATCAACAGCTACTACCCACGATAGCTAAATGGAAATTCCAGGACCACAAATAACATACCTCTGAATAGACAAAGACAAAAAGAGGTCCGCTATCACCTCTCTTCCCTTTTAGGGGACAACCATGTATTTTCTAACCTCTATTGGAAAGTAAATTGTCAAAGAGATGAATTGTGTACTAAGCTTCCAAGGTAATTCCTATTTTTATAGCTAACAGCAGAAAGCCTAAATAAATGCAGCATATATTTATACATACTTCATGAGAGAACCAAATACAGTGTGACTCCTCAAAGTGCTTGAATACTTGTGCTTCTGAGGTACACAGTTGTCTGCTGAGGATTGTGAAGAACTCCTGGATCAGGCCCCCATATTTGATCCCAGGTTCTCCTTCAAAACACACCTGAAGAATCAAATAAAATCAGCCAGATAATAGGAACTAATTTAGATTTAGAAACTAAATGCAAAAATATTTGTTTTCTCAGAAACCCAACATCTTTCAGTAGTTCTTACCTCCAAATTAAAGTCGCAACCCTAAATTATTCAGAGGAACCTTGAAATCTCCAGCCAAGCCTGTTTCAGACATGCTAGCCTTTAAAGATCTCAAGCTATCCTTAAAACACTTGGGAAAAACTTTTTCCCAAATGAGATTGTGACCCCTGAAATCAGTGGAACTGACTCCCAGGAAAAATAGGATCCACTGCAGGGGAGCACAAAGGATTTGCTCAATTTATACCTTGCCTCACAAAAAAAGATTTAAAAAGAGATCCATGTAAAATCCTATTCGTTTACTTAGAACAGTGTTTTCCAACCTTGGCAGCTTGAAGATGTGTGGACTTCAACGCTCAGTATTCCCCAGCCAGCATACTGGCTAGGGAATTCTGGGAGGTGAAGTCCACACATCTTCAAGCTGCCAGGGCTGGAAAACACGGTCTTAGAAAGAGCTTCAGTAAAAGCGTTGGCTGTAGTAAGTCCACCTAAGCTAGGCAGCCGGATCCAAGCCATCTCGTTCCTCTTCTCCCGAACCGCCCACTCCATCCTCCACGCGTACTCAGCCTCACGTACACCCGCACATTGCTCTGAGGAGGAAAACCAGCGGTCCTAAATCCTATCCGGAACCTAACTCACAGCGCTGAAAGTGCCGGGGCCCGATTTCTCAAGCGCTCTCCTGCCCCGGAAGCAGTCGTGCAAAGCCTGTATCATCTTCCGGGCTGGCTCTACCTCTCGCGCGCCGAGGCGGATCATGCTCGCCGTGCCTGGCCTACGGCTCCTGACTCTCCTCCCGCGCCGGGGGCCTCCGCAAGCCAGCTGGGCAGCTTCCGCGGCGGCGAACGGGGCGAAGCCCGCGGGGCCAGGAGAGCAAGGACCGCCCTTCGACCCCGGGCTGCTGGAGATCCTTGTGTGCCCCCTGTCGAAAAAGCCGCTCAGGTCGGCCTAGCAGCTTTGCCTTTGTTTTACTAGCCGGCCCGTTCTCACTCGCCCGTCGCGGTTCTTGTCCCGTTGGACTGCATCCCCCACTCGGCCAGCACGCATTCCCTGGCGGTAATGGGTTATGTAGTCCAACGCAGCTGCAGGCCGCTAGGATGAGAAACTCGTCCTACCCGCCCGCTTCCCTGTTTCAAGTAGTTTGGACTCGAATTGGCTGACTATGTAGCATGTGTATTTATATGCTTAATATAATAGCATATGTTTAGTAGCTTCATAGCATCCCCTTCCTCCAGACCTGCATCTAGGGCTCTTTTGGGGGAGGACTAAGCGTTTCTCTGTCAAAGGCATCTTACTCCCTTCATTGGTCCTCATGTAAGAGCTGCCAAATAGTGAAATCTCCCTCGCAGTCATTACAGATTATTTAAGCCCACTACAATTCATATTTCTAATACCTGACACAGAACAACCATGTATTTTACAAATGCCACCTCAGAAATCTTTGTCAGGAAAACTACATGGTTCTTTCTTTCTTTCTTATATTGACTGTTTCCCCCCCCTCTATTAAAAGAATAAATTAGACATTTCCTCACATGCATTCTAAATGTTGGGGATGCTCTGCAGCTTCCCACAGAGTGACTTTGTCCATTATTTGACCCACATGCAGGGAATTTATGCCTGTGAACTCAAGTCCTGCTCATTCAGGATCCCTCTTGCAGGGACAGGCTTTATGCATCTATTTCAGCGCATACATAGTTCCCCTTCTCCCAAGCGCTGAGTTGTGCCTCCCCTGTCATGCTAGCTTACTGTTTAGGTATCTGTTCCCTTTCTTAAATCAAAAACAACAGTAAATCTCACAGGTCATTATTTGCTGTATTTTCTAGATACGATGAGTCCACAAATGAGTTAATTAATGAAGAACTAGGCATAGCCTACCCTATCATAGATGGCATTCCTAATATGATACCTCAGGCGGCAAGAATGATTGGCAAGGACAAGCAAGAAACAGAATCTCAGCAGACCTAGAAGACTATCCTCTTGAAAGGAAGTTGGAAGTCAAGCACAAGTGGAGTAAGATGTTTCCCTCATTTCCCACCATGACTGTACTTGTCCCGCTGTTGTCTTTAGCTGGCCTGTTATATTCAGCCAGTGTGGATGAAAATTTCCCTCAGGGCTGCACAAATACAACCAGTATATGTTTCTACAGCCTGCTGCTTCCAATTACAATCCCAGTTTATGTATTTTTCCATCTTTGGACCTGGATGGGCCTTAAACTTTTTCGCCACAACTAGATTCTGCTTAACTATAAGAAGCTTCTTGGAATAAAGAATGGAGTGATGCTTTTTGAAAAACCATCTCTTAATATTTTGTCCCATGTACCTGAAATTATCTTTTGAAACAGAGATTAACTATCTTCAAATGCAAGTACATCTAACTAAATTGAAAATTAGGGCATGCTTACAGGCACTTTAGCAGTCTAGCACCAAAGTAGACACACAGGAATATCAAACAAGAAGTAAAATATCAAATATAGAAATCAAACAACAGTATGAAGTGATACACTTCACACAATGAAGTGATACGTATTTCAACAAAAGATCTTAGGCATGCAACAAGGCAATCTAGATGTGTCTGGTTGTGTAGGGAATGTAATTTTTCTGGTCTTTGGTGAAAAAAACCCTGCAGGGTTATTCCAAAAGACAGTTTCATTACCTAATTATTTCAGGAAATTATTAATATACCCTGTGTGTGCAACATAGTGCTTTGATTGTCAAACTCATGGATGAAAGATTTGAATATGTAACATGGACATAGGTATACTATATAGAGAGTTCTTGGTTTACCAATGATGTAAAGTTAGACATAGTAATGAACAGCTTCTAGGATTCCTCTGCTCTATTGTTCTGCAGGGACCCAGAATTTTGAATTCAGGTCCACAAATAAATTAGAGTGATGTGTCATGAAACTTATCACTAAATGAAAAATAATGGAACTGAATAGGAAATTGTTTCTAATAAAGCATCTGCAAGGCCTATGTATTTTTATATACTTATTGTTGTATTTTTATATACTGCTCTTGACCTTTCTGTTTTCTTTAAAAGACACAATATTTCTGTTCCAGTCTTATAAGGAAAGCCTCCAAACCAGAATTGCTCCAACACTGCAATAGCTTTCATGCCAAAATGAGCCTCTAGTTTGTTACTTCTCAGTTGAGAGCTAAATGCCTGTCAGTATTTTACAACATATGTTTCACATAAACCTAGGCAGTGTTAGCTTGATTAGAGATATACAAAATTGGATGCTTACTTCAAAATATTGTTCAAAGTAAATTTCTTCTGCCCTTCTTAGATAGTGCCAGGTATCCTGTAGTAAATTCTGCCTCCTTACATGCATTATAGGGGTCACAGAGTTTTCCTAGGATACAAATACTGGGTTACAAGTCATTTTAGTAAACTTTGTGAACACGTTCATTATGTTTCTGGGTATACATACCCATGTGTGTTGTAAATGCAAAAGTTGGCGTTGTATGTCATGCATCACAATTTTATCTTCAAACTTGAAGATACAAGGAAATTGGCTGAGGTCAGATAAAGCCAGCTGAAAAAACAAAGATAAACTATTTATGATCTAAAACATGTAAGTTTTAAAGTTCAGTTCTTCCAAGCCAAAACCCAAACTAACCATATTATGGCTCAAGAATAAAAGTCATTGAATCCAGCTGACAATAAAGGCAACCATTCCAATACAAGAGAATATCTGTAGCTCACGGTTGAACTATGAAGTTCTTGATGCTCTCTGAGTTGGTTGTTTGCTTGCAGACATTTCATTACACAACTAGGTAACATTATCAGTGCAGATGAGTGTGGGGTTCGCTGCTTGTTTATATATAGTAGCTTGCCCTGCCAGTTTTGGTGGGGGTGTGATTTCCTCCTTGGTAGTTCCTTGATTAGACTATTGTTTTCTGCCTGATTTTTGGTGTTAATCTTTGCTTAAAACCATGCATTTTAGAAGGATCCCACGATTATCGTAGCACAATAGGCAAAGACCTATTCTGATTCTGACACATTCTAAAACTTCATGTTCGGTCCACAGTATCTATATGTAGGGCTGGGAAAGAATGACTCCATATTTCTTTTAAGATAGCCCCAGCAAAACACTTCCCTCTCTGATAGAAATGGATATTGATTTAAAAAAAAAAAAGATAAAAGGGATTTTTGTAATACTTACAGATATTTCATAGCTTTTCTGAATCATCTGGTCACAAAAACAAAAAGAAGCAAAAGAATTTGTAAGCTATATTGCAATCATGCTTTAAAGAACTGTCCCTTTGCTACCAGTCTTCCAAGAACTATATTCCAGTATACTATACTAGAATTTGCTATCAATTTCCACTATAATCATGGGTAAATACTCACATATTTACTTTTCATTTGGAGAGGCATTTTAAAATATTTCACTGAAATGTGCTGAGATACTATAGAAAAATCAACCTGAGGTCTAAATTGCACTTCGTTTTTGCAGTTCCATATCCCCAAATTTAGATCTGGTGAGGGAGGTAAGGTAGGGAGAAGAGAGAATTTAGCTCTCCTCTTGCCTGAAAGTTCTTCCCTACATATACTACACCAGTGGTGTCAAAATCAGTTAGAAATGGGGGCCACTAAACCATACCTAAGGATCCCTGTGGGCCTCATGCTGGCTTAGAAAATCACGTTTATATATATTTTTAATTAATATGTCAGTACAACTAGACATAACTAATACATTAAAAAACATTATTATGATGAATTTGACTTTGTTTTCAGTATTTATGTGCATTCATATACATTTGTGTGTATATAGGATAGACAGAGACACTCACATACATACATATATATTCCCCCCCACCAGGTTCCTCCCAGGCTAACACCAAATTATCACACAAACCACCTACTCCCACTTATCATCTCCCTACAATGTTCCCTCCTAATCTCTCTCCACACATTCTTTCTACTGTATAAGGCTATCTGCTATCCAACAGATAGCAGCTGGAATTATTTCATGACACAAGACTGGATTAAAAGATAAAATTGGTTATAACCCTGTAATCATGCTATAAGAAACTGGGAATGGGTGTAACTGAAACATGTGAGCACTGGTTTCCCACCTGCTAGTTCTTAGTTTTTAAATATCTATCCCTATAATCATGCTGTAAGACAAGTGTGGTTAAGACTTAAAGTATACTGAAAACTGTTTTCCTTCTCATTGAAAGAGTCACATAGTTTGTTAGAATTCATTTGGACAGGGTTATTTCACACGACACCGGATCATGGCTTGCTTGATTATTCCAGCCTTCCTGGAGACATTCCAGAATCCTCCAGGCAGCATGGTCATAACAGAATCCTGGGAATTGTGATCCACAACTGGAGTGTGTCCAGGTTGGAAAGGGCTGATGTATTGACTAAACTCTAATTGGCTAGGCTCATACAATAACCTATGCCATTAATGCAAGGTTTATAAAACAGAACAGTGGGGTTCATACAATAAACTATGTCAGCAGCTAGGAAACTACATTATGGTTTATTACATTACACAAACACAGTTCAAATCTCTGGAGTCTGTTTAATTCAGGCCATAAAAAATATCTATATGGTTTGTTCCCACTGAAAAATGCTCAGAAGCTTGTGATGGGATCTCAGGTACAATCATAGCTTATTTCACCTAAATATTATAAAGGACATTAATGTGATTTTATTTGAAGAACTGTTCCTAGTCTATGTTGGCTAATATCAAAAGTTGAACCCAAAGTTGTAACTCAGATGAATGTTATTCTATCACTTTGAGATACCCTTTATATAGGAAGCAATGTATATATTTTTATTTGAAAACCACCCAGAGTAATCATGAGTCAGGCGACTAAATTTCAAATAAAACAAACAAAACTTACTTGTGCTACATTTCGTATGCGATTCAAATTTGGTATGAAACATATTTTCTGTATTTCTGGTACATAAAAATTACTTTCCTGAATTTTGAAACCACACCTGCAATTTACCTGCATTTGTAAACAAGATTAAAGCAGAAGTTAATCTGGGGAAAAGATAATAAGTAAAAACAAAACAAATTCTGCACTTTATAATCCAGCAGCATTAGTTATAATTAAAAAAAAAACAACAGCTCACTAACCTCAAATAATTTTGATATAAAAATAAGTACACAGATATAATAGAAGGATTTTCCTAGGCAAGCGAGTTCCCAAGAGATGCATAACTTTTAAGAAGACTTTTTCCAAATCTAATAAAGGTTATCTTTAAGAAAATCAGGGCCTAAGCAGAAAGTTTCCTAATGACTTCAGATTTCACATTTATAAAGCAAAACACAACAAAAAATTGGTCTTGGGAGCTCTGGGGGCCCTGGATTTCGGCTGCTGCTGCTTAATGCCAAGTCGGAGAGAGGAATTCTAGAATATCTGGAAAATATTTTCAGAAAATAAATTCTTCATTTAGAAAATTTCTATGGGGTTCTTCAATTCTGAGAATATCTTTACAGAAAATGCAATTACCAATGAATGAGGAAGGATTCAGTTTTCCGAATCTGGAGCTGATTCATTAAGCTTACTTATTGTCAAGTATTAAATACTGGAAGCCAACAATTGGTATTAATTTTTCCGATTTGGGCAACTTTGGAATATACATCTATAGCACTTTTGGTTGGATGGACAATATAAGGATCTAAATATACTAAAACTCTAATATCTCTGGAAACAATTTCATCAGTTAGAAAGCTA